GGGTGACAAAAGTGTTACAATGGGAATCTTAGAATAAAATGTAAAACATAAAAAAGAAATATGAAGTTATATAAGAAATGAAAATAAATAGTAAAATTAAAACATTGAGAATGGAGTAGTTAGATAGAAAATTGTGTTTCAATTTTCTATCTAACTACTCCATTCTCAATGTTTTAATTTTACTATTTATTTTCATTTCTTATATAACTTCATATTTCTTTTTTATGTTTTACATTTTATTCTAAGATTCCCATTGTAACACTTTTGTCACCCTTTTTGATTATGCCTACTTCATCATTCCACACTTTGTAACGGTTTTTATTATTTATCTTCTTAGTTCTTAGTCATTATTCTAACAATTTCATTTTACTTTATATTTATCTATTTTATTTTTCTATTTTTTTTATTTTTTTTTTTATTTTTTATTATCCTTTTTACCATCATTACTTATGTTTCTCATATCTTGTTATCTGGTTATTTTCTTAGCCCTGATGAAGGCCTGAACTTCAGGTCGAAACGTCGGCATATGTAAAAAATAAATATCATTTATTTTTGCCTTCCTTTTTGACTGACCACCTCAACTATTTTTCTCTTCATTATACACGACAGTCAACCAATCACCAATTATTTTTATATTTCCTTCATATGAACTTTGACATAACAGTTCGTAAAGAAGATTTAAGTACCTAATGGGTCAAAAAAGGGGGAGAAATGTTTAGGTATTTTCTAAACTACTGAAAATTTCAATTTTTTTATGCCATCTCTTCTGCCAGAAAATTTAATTCTGCGAAGAAAATATTCTATTACTTTTTTGGCGAAAATCTCTTCTGAAGAAATTTATTAAGGAAAATAACTTTTAAAAAAACGTGCAAATATACGATTTTCAAATTACAGTATCCTTTAAGGAGGGAGAGGTTATAGAATGTGACTTATGTCATTTGGTTCCGCATTAAAATAATGAAGAAAACCCATCTAATTTGGTTAGATATCGACATTCAATGTTTTGCATTTATTACTTAACATAACATCCAAATTTTCCACCTAAAAGGACTAATAATGTGTATATTTGATTGATTTATTTAATTCTTTTACATTTTTTATAATGTTTATTTATGTACACATGTTTTATAGTTTCGGCGCGTTATATTTCAGAGTAACCCCAGGAAACATAACCACAGAAGGCTAAGCTCTAAGTATATCTAAAATAAATTTCAATTAGTATTGTCCTCAGATATATTTAAAAGATCTAATGTTTCAGAAATAGACAAGAGTATAACTAGCGCAAATAGAGCTTTCTTATTCCTTTCAAAGGTATTGAAATCTCGAAAAATCTAAAGAAATCTCAAATTAAGAGTATAAAGTGCTATGATAAAGCCAGTACTAATATGTGGTTGTGAGACCTTGACACAAACCAGCAACATAGAAAAAAACGCTGCAAATTATTTCACAATGGTTTATTATTTCCAAACAATTATACATCTAAAATAACATTACCTTCCTAGTTACAAATAAATAGAAATAAAAGGTTCTTCCAATTAATGCCCTAAACATTTTTTTTTCATCATTAGTGATTTGCAAACAAAAATAGCATTAATTCAGTAACACATTAAAAAAACAAACAAAAAAAAACAAAGGATATAATCTTTGCAGTATAACATATAAAAAATATCTAGAGACCATATCTTTGCTCCTAATTGTTCGATTTTATCGATTTATTTTTAAAGGAAATTTAGTAAACTGTTAAAAAGCCATATACAATATCGACAATAAAGTGTATACTTTTTGAGTTATTCGGAATCAAATTTTACCACCCCTCGTAACTTTATTTCCAGCTTCTTTTCGTTGAAGTATGTTATCTCCATCTCCACATATTATTACAGTAAGGCTCGTAATCGGTTTTGTACCAAATATAAACTCCTGTCATTCTCAAATACCATGAATGGGATACCGTTGGATTCAAAATTTCACGGGGGATTAGCGAATCGTATTCTCCAATTTTGTTTTTCTTTCTAAAATAAATAAAGTAGATACAAACATTTTGCTAGACTTCAATACTGGATTTTGATGCGTACAGCAAGACCCGGATAGTTCCTCCGGAACTATTGGATCCTGCGGTTTTAAGCCCCAAAACGTACTATTTTCGAGATAACGCAAGGCATAGGGTTCGCATCCACACAACCTTACATTAATTGTAATACTGTCATTGAATACATGTCTCATTTCGTCGACTTGAGGTCTCTATGATCGAATGAGAAGGAGTTTATATTATTTATCGATGGTGTTTCTGATCGGTAAGTCCTATCATCGTTAATTCTTCACCAAATCTCAAGATTGAGCCACCAATTCCGAAGGCTTCCTTCTCCTTAAGGCTGGCAAAATAGTCCAATTACCCAGAAAATTCAGGAAAACAAGATATCAAAGAAAATAAACTTTATTTGCGAATAACTTGAAAATTACACACTTTTTCCTTGGTTATGCCCATGATTATATAAAAGATTACTAAATTCCCTACAAAAGGAAAAAAAAATCAACGAAATCGATTCGAATTTTTTTTTCAATATTTATCTTTTTTCCATTTTATTATTTATGTTTTCATATTTTCGATTAATGTTCAATTTTTAGCTAATATACAGCTTACTAAAATTTGGAAACATCTTGGTTCCAAAAAAAAATGAAGATTTAAATTAATTTTTGTTTGCTTTGTGGATTATGTTTATCGATGAAGTAACATTTGATGTCTTAATCCTTTGATACAATGCATTTTTTATTTTCTTATTAATTTGGCATTTGATAACTATATGGTGTGCGAATTTTTCGCACGGGCCTACTAGTATAAATAAATTTAAATGGCATCAAGAAGAAGACTTTAGCCAAGTTTCATTGAAATCGGTACATTCGTTTAGGCACTACAATCTATAGGAACGCAGGTTTTTCCGGCCGCCATTTTGAAAGTAAAAGGCGGATAATAATTTCGAGTTACGAGGATCATCCTCGGGTGACCTCTGACTTTGATTCCAAATTTGAAAAAAAATCGGTCCAGTAGTCTCTGAGAAAAGCCTTAGACTGACAATTTTTTTTTATTCGATGTTCAAATTCTACGTATCGTGAAACTACCAAATGATGTACTTAGAACTTAGCCTTCTGGGGGGAAGGGAGGGTGTATTCTGGAATTTAACGCGCCGAAACTCTACTAAAACTTATGTACATAACTAAACATAATGAGGAATGTATAAGAATTAAATACATCAATCAAATATATACATTATTGGTGCTTTTAAGTGGAAGATTTGGAAGTTATGTTGAGTAATAAATGCAAAACATTGAATGTCGATATCTCAGCCGGGTACCATTAGAACTTAACTAAATTAGATGAGTTTTGTTCATTAGTTTAATGTGGAACCAAATGACATAAGTCACATTCTGTAACCTGTACCCCGCTTAAAAGATACTTCAATTTGAAAATCGTATATTTGCACGTTTTTTTAAAGTTATTTTCCATCATTTCTTCAGGAGGAGTTTTCACAAAAAAGTAATAGAATATTTTCTTCTCAGAATTAAATTTTCTAGCAGAAGAGATGGGATAAAAACATTGAAATTTCCATTTTTCACCCCTTTTTTGACCCATTAGGTACTTAAATCTTCTTTACGAACTCTTATGTAAAAGTTCATATAAATGAAATATAAAAATATTATCTGGAAGAACAAAATAGCGACTTTTTTAAGTTTTGACCACTGTGCGCTCTTAACCTTAAGGCTTTGCTCTTTAGATGTATAATTGTTTGGAAATAATAAACCATCCCCAAATATATTATTACAGTAAGGCTTGAAATCGGTTTTGTACCAAATATAACCTCATTTCATGCTCAAATACCATGAATGGGGTACCGTTGGATCGTATTCTCCACTTTTGTTTTTCTTTCTAAAATAAATAAAGTCGATACAAACATTTTGCCAGGCTTCAATACAGGACGGTGGTGGGTCTGTAGATCGATACGGGACAAATTGGATCTTGAAGATTTTGATGCGTACAGCAAGACCCGGATAGTTCCTCCGGAACTATCGAATGCTGCGTTTTAGGCCCGAAAACGTTCTATTTTCGAGATAACGCAAGACATAGGGTTCGCATGAACACAACCTTACGTTAATTGTAGTATAAGTCATTGAATACATGTCTCATTTCGTCTACTTGAGATCTCTATGATCGAGAGAGGAGAAGGCAAAATAGTCCAATCACCTCGAAAATGCAGGCAAACAAGTTATGAAAGAAAACAAACTTTATTTGCGAATAGCTGAAATATTACACTCTTTTCTCTTGGTTATGGTCGTGATTTTATAAAAGACTACTAAATTCCTTTCAAAATGAAAAAAAAATCATCGAAATCGGACAATTTTTAGCGAAGATACAGCATACTGAAATTTGTAAACATGTTGGTTACAAACAAAGATGAAGATTTGAATTAATTTTTGTTTCCTTTGTCGATTATATTTATCGATAAAGTAACAATTGATTTCTTTATCTTTTGATACGTTGCTTTATTTTATTTTCTTATTAATTTGGCATTTGATAAAAATATGCTGTGCGAATTATTCGCACGGGCCTACTAGTTGTGAAATAGTTTGCAGCGTTTTTAAATCTCCGATTCAATTTTTGACTACTTTTAATTAAGAAAATGGCTGTATTGAGAACATTTTGGGATAATTCTTCTGTTGCCATTGTAAGTGCCCCAAAGGGCAGGTGATGTCTGTTACCTGGTCCCAGCTCAAATAGCACCGAACCGGAGGAGCTAAGCTCAGTTCTCGCCAATACTTCGGTGTATATAGGTTACCTTTTGTATCTAGTACTCGTGTAGGTCAGCTCTTAATGAATATGTACCTTATCGAACCTGAGGTGTGGATCAGTGCCGACGCGGTATTGAGATATTATATTGTAAGTATTGTACACTGATTAGTGTATAATGTATTGGTATTGGTATTGTATTATAGCGTTTGGTGTTTGGTAGATGGCGCCCGAGCGAGGCGAGTCGGGACCAGGTGAGGAGAGTACGGGCGTAGCCCCAGCCCACGACCCGAGGTCTCCCATCATCTACCTCAAGGTGAATAATAATATATTTATTATTATTTAGTAATACATTAAAGGTAATTAGTAATATATTATATCGTAAAGCATTAGAATATTATTGGTAGTGAATACTCTATAGTGAATAGTTAATATTGACCGTTTGTGTTATAGAAGAAGGCGGTCATAAATAGACTAAAATAGTGGCAAAACTATTTTATTAAAAGCCAGCTCTGAGAGAGTTCCAACTGAAACTCCTTCTTGAGCACACCTCCCAAGCCAAAGTTTCGAATAAAATAAAATAATCAAATTATTATTCATTATTTTATATTATGTCCTTTTTCATTTTCTTTCAATCTCTCCTGTAGATCTATAGAAGTATATTCACATTAGCATATGTTATATATTACACTACACCAATTGTTACCATCTATTTACTTCAGTTTAGGATCTTGTTACTTAGCTTACTCTGTTTATATTTTAATCCCTGAAGAAGACTTGCAAATTCGGGTCGAAACGTTGGCTTTAAATAAAATAGTTTTGCCACTATTTTAATCTATTTATGACCGCCATCCCGGACCATCTCCTTCCTTTATATCTCTATAGTTAAAGTCTTACATCAAAAAAGTAAAATTAAACATCAATTTACGGATAATAAGTGTAAAAATGAAGTTTTGAAAGATATGTTTTAATTTTGGAGGGAACAAATGATTTTCCAATTTTTTTTAAACTCTGTTTTTTAGGAAGAATTAACTCGATTATTATTCAAAATAATTTAAACCTTTTGTAAAATGAGGAACTGATTTATATTTCATCCTTAAATACTGGTTTTCAAAAAATGAAATCCATTTCGTGGGCTTAAGTAGCTCATATCTCCTCCCTTGACAAAATGAGAAAATTTATTAAAAACAATGAAACCAACACCACGCGTTAGATCTTTTAAAATCGCTTTGAAGTGAGCGATTGAAACATTTTTATTTTCATATGATATTGTAAAAAAAAAACTAGCTAGTATTGACTTTGACCCTTTTAGCAACATACTACTGATATCTTTTAGCAGATAATATATAATATGTAAATAAATATCTCATCAAATAACTACATTATCTTTTAATCTAATATTAAGATTATGCGCTATGAGATAAGATGTTTTTTTTTTTAGTTCTATCTTATTTGTTGTTATGTACAAACATTTAGGTATTTTGAATAGTGCATTAATATAATGTTATAATTATGGATGGCAGTGTTCCAATGCAAATGTTTCCTGGTGCCGCTTCAGAAAAAAACCCACTTGAATTATACTTCCCATGTTTTGAACTGAATTTGAGGTTTTACGTTTCAGAATACATAGAATTCAAAAATCAAATAAAAACTTTTTTGTTCATCCGCGCATTTTCTCCGAGACGACTGGACCAATTTTTTTTTTCAAATTTGGATTTAAAGTCAGAGTAAATCCCAGGATGATCCTCCAACATCGACATTACTTTCCGCCATTTCTTTTCAAGATGGCGGCTGAAAAAGCTTTGTTATAGATTGTAGTGCCTTAACGAATGTACCGATTTCAATTAAACTAGGCTAAAGTATTCTTCTCGATGCCTTTTAAATTTATCTGTATAACATGCTTCAGGGTGCGTAGAATTCGAAAAACGAATAAAAATTTTTTGGTCGTCCGCCGTCCGCGCATTTTCTCCGAACTTAGTGGGCCGATTTTTTAAAATAAAATAAAATCAGAGGTCACCCGAGGATGATCCTCCTTCATCGACATTACTATCCGCCTTTTACTTTCAAATTGGCGGCCGAAAAGCCTGCGTTGTTATATATTGTAGCTCCTAAACGAATGTACCGATTTCAATGTAACTTCACTAAAGTCATTTTCTTGACGCCTAGTTCAACGTTCATAGTTCACCGAAAAGAAGCTGCAAAAAAAGTTACGATTGTTTTTTAAAACTTTACGGAATTTCCTTAAAAAAAAAGAAAATCGCTAAAATCGGACAATTAGGATCAAAGATACTCCAGTTTTTTACTTTCACTTACGTATATATGTAATATATAGTAAGGGTAAGTATTGCGATCATAAGTATCATAAACATTGCGAGTTACGAAAAAATGCTAAGTATAACTTTTGAAAGAATTTGATAAGATAATAAAGGAGAAAAAAATAAAAATGCAGAAAAACCTGCGTTGCAGCGCCTAAACGAATGCACCGATTTCAATGAAACTTCGCTAAAGTCATTTTCTCGGTACCCTTTAAATTTATCTACATAACATACTTCAACGAAAAGAAGCTGGAAAAAAAGTTACGAGGGATGGTAAAATTAAATTCCTAATAACCCAAAAAGTATACGCTTTTTTGTCGATATTGTGATACGATCATTCAAAGGTATTAAAATATCTCTGTTTAAAATGCACTTTAAAAAATTTTATAATAGCCCAACATTGCCAGAAAGTAATTTCTATTCAAAGCATAGCGGTAAGTGAAAGTTGTGTGTTGCGCGCACCAGATTTTTTTTTATGTTCTACTCCAAATGTTATATCCTTTAGTTTTTAAATTTTGAATGTGTTACTGAAGTAATGCTTTTTTTTTAGTGTATTACTAATGATTAAAAAAAAAAAGTTTAGTCCAATGATTGGTATCACCTTTTATTTATTTTTCTTCGTAACTAGGAAGGTAATGTTACTTTAGATGTATAATTGTTTGGAAATAATAAACCACTGTGAAATAATTTGCAACGTTTTTTTATATATTCTACTGCAAAGATTATATCCTTTTTTTTGTTTTTTGAAATGTTACTGAAGCAATTTTTTTAAGCAAATTACTAATCATGAAAAAAATATAGCCTAAAGGCTAATAATAGGAATCACCTCTTATTTATATTACTAGGAATGTTACTTTAGATGTATAATTCTAACTTTTTCCTAACTTAAACCCGTTTCGATCCTAAACCGATTGGACTATATTCTTTGAATCAGCTGTTTTGAAATGAGCGGTATAATACTACACAATACAGTTGGCAGCTGTAGCCCCTCTGCAGGTAGCCATACTCCCATCTGGGACAACATCCTAGCACCTGGGCGGTGTCTTAGCCTGGGCGTCCTCCTGAGTGACAGCCACTCCGTGTCACTGAAGCTGTATGGCATGTCACGTAACAATGCCTCATCACGGAATAAACTAAAATGTGGAGTTTGGCCCATATAACCTCGTCATTTTGACAATTTGGGTCACGCCAAACGACTCAATATTTTTGAAGGCCACCTTTTTCCTCGACTTTATGGTCAAGTTATTTTAAGATTAAAGTGGAAAGCAAATGGGTATTTACGAGTTTTTAGTACCTAATTAAATAGACAAAGTTTTGCCAGCCCCAATTTCGAGAATTTTCGTAAATAAAATATTTGTAGGTTACGATGAGATGAAGCTATTCACGAAGTTTCAACCAGATGTTAATAATTCGATCAAAAGGGGTCTGTACCACGGGACTATAACTATAGATACATAGTTACCTATTACATCTAGGTTAACTTCCAAAAATGTTTTTGTGAATTCTACTTTATTCATCGGTACAAAAACACTATAATTGCATGAAAATGAAACAAACCCTTTTCTTTATCAAATATAATTACAACAAGCGAACAATCTTCTGATTTCATAAAGGGAACATTGCTCGAAGTTCTTATTTAGTGAACGTTGTGAAATTTTTGCAATAAAATGGCGATAAGTTCTTAGAACGATCAAACCAGTACATATTTCTGATAGTAAGGATTACGTTTTTTTTTTTTTTTTTTTTTTTATAATTGATAATTGGTTGACTGTCGTGGATAATGAAGAGAAGAATAGTTGGGGTGGTCAGTCAAAAAGGAAGGCAAAAATAAATTATAATTATAAATGATAATATTTATTTTTACATATGCCGACGTTTCGACCTGAAGTTCAGGCCTTCATCAGGGCTAAAAAAATAACCAGATAAGAAGTATAATATAATATATTCTCATACCTTGTTATCTGGTTATTTTCTTAGCCCTGATGAAGGCCTGAACTTCAGGTCGAAACGTCGGCATATGTAAAAATAAATATTATCATTTATTTTTACCTTCCTTTTTGACTGACCACCCCAACTATTCTTCTCTTCGTTTTTTTGTTTTAATTATTACTTTCATTCTTCTACTCTCAATCATCCAAATCCACTCGTTCTATCTCTATCTTCCTCCCTGTTACCTGGTGAGCCTCAAAGACGACTAAAATGGCAGTGGCCTAGAGATCTGCTGAAAAGTTAAGAAAATATCAGGAATTCAAGGATATATAATTAACGCCAACACATTTGCTTGATGCGTTGCAGCGGCAAATTTCTTTTTTTTTTTTATTTCTTTATGACATTTACAACTGTATTACATAAATACATCAAGTAAATTTGGACATAATTGATATAATGACATGAATACACTTGCTGAGTAACTACCCAATGGTAGCACTCTAAGTGGCAAATTTAAAATAACAAAAAGAAATAAAATTAAAAATTATTACTTTATAAAATGAACAGTAGGTTTCAATTTGTTTATCCAGATAATATCAATAAATACAAATATCTATGTATTCGAACCATAATTTTGTAAACAAAGAAATAAAACTTTAGAAAAGTTTGCAGAAAAACATTCGTAAAATGTTATTGTTTACTCATAAGTCAGGAATTTTATTTTTATTTTCTTCTTCAATGTTGAAGGATTGCATTGAAAAAGGTTCCTTTTAGAATATTGCAATGAACACAATACCTAGCTGATATTAAATACCACTTGGTTTTACAGTGATATGAGTTAAATCACAAAATAGTCATTTTCGAAAGAAACAGGCAAAAAAGAGGCAACACCAAATATATTTATATTTATTATTATAGGAGTGTCTAATATCATATGAAGATGGGGATTATCAGTGCCTTATAACAATTATCAGTGTTGAGGTTATAAACATTTTTTTTTTTTAACTTTTGTTATGATATTTACAACTGTATTAGTATGAATACATCAAGTAAATGTGTACAGAGGTATATT